CTGTCTACACTTTTCCAGATGTTCTTACGATAATTAGGTTTGGGATATTACTGAATTCACCTTTTCTAGTTCATAGTCTGTTATCCATAACTCAGAGCCATGAAGAAGGCAGAATTGGGCTAGGGTGTTGGACTGCAAACTGGAGATAGCTTTTGCCACAAGGATAGAAGAGGCTGGTAATATTTTAAAACACTTCAATTAATTTTTCAGAGCTTGTCTGTTAGATCCTTAGTTATGCTCATGTATGTTCAGATTTCCTTGTATTAGTGGGTGTGGAAAGTCAGGTTGTAGGTGCAACTGCAGTGTCACATTATTTTGTATATACATACTGCAATTTCTCTATCTTTATGTAAAATGGAACTCTTACAGGTCATCAAGTGAAGTGTTTCTTCCAGACAATGTGTACTTTGAGTTGCTTGCTCACTCCCTGCCCCCGGCGAGACTGGGGAGAGCATACCAAGAGCAAAAATTAGAAAACTTGTGTTTTTAGGGAAGGACAGTTTAATAAGTGAAGGGAAGAGGGGAAAAAACCCCCAAGGGATGTAGACCCATGCCCAACCAGTCTCTGAGCAGTGGCTACCGGCCAGACCAATCCCTCATCCCCCTCAGTTTTTGTTGTCGAGCAAGATGTTATATGGTATGAAATGTCCCCTCGGTCAATTCAGGTCATGTGTTCCCTCCCTACTTCTCGTGCACCCCAGCCTACTCATTGAGGGAGCAGGGTGGGAAACAGACAAGGCCTTGACGCTGTGCAAGCACTGCTCAGCAATAGCCGGTCTGTTACCAATACTGTTTTAGTCACAACTCCAAAACTCTGCACTGCTAGAAGACAATTAACTCCATCCCAGCCAGACCCAGCACAGCATTATTACTATTGTACAAAGTACAGTAAAGCTTAAAATTTTCCATAACTAATGTGAGCCATGGCTTCTGCCATGAGATCTGCACCAGTGCAAGTCTGAAATCTAGCTATACATAGCTACAGTGCTAGCATCAGACTTCGGTTGTCTTGGGGCCATTAAGTTTTATTATACTACAAACAATAACAATAAAGTGTGTAAATTAACATGGTAATTATGAGAATAATTTTAGGCATTGACTTGGTCATATGGCATTACTTGGGGCCATTGATCAATTTGTATCAATTCCAGGATCAACTAGTGTCAGAGCTTTTTGGGATGTAAAGACCCTATTAATAGTGTGTTGTCAGGGTCTGTGTATCACCACAGCTTCTTTGAGTCTTTAATTAAATATGACCTTTTAAAGGAAAGAATACCTTTGTCTTTATACATCTCAAAACTGGTAAAAGTTACAGTGCTAAGAAGTGTTTGCATGCTGAGACCAAAATCGAAAACTATTGTCCTTAGAATGAATATTCTGGGTTGTGAAAATAAAGTAAAAAGGCTTGCGAGGGAGATATTTTAGAACTGTATGCAACCCAGCAGATGTAATATATACTATATAACCATATGGAGTTGGTAGATAATACAGCAATTGCTACTGATTAAAAAGAGACGAGTACTTTAAGCTCATGTTGTTAGAATTTTAAGCGCTTTTTTTTTCCCCACCTAGTCAGACCAGTAGCGATTGCACTGGTCTAACAAAATGTGTTGTAGATTTGTTTTCAGGAATTAATCAAATTCGCTGGTAGCAGCTAAGTGTCCCCCACAGGAATAACGGTAACATCTAAGTTGGGAAAATGTCTTTACTAACAAAATATCCCCTAGATTTGACACAAAAGAAAAACAAAGAGAAAAGATCAAATCCTAGTATTACTAGTACTAATAAAGGCATTGTTATCACACACCAATGTAGTACTGAAGTCATATTCTGGATTGATTTCATTGCAGGCAGTATGTATCACCTATGTATGCTTATAAGTTTAAAACCTACTAGTGGTAATTTTCTCTTTCCTTGATTTTTGTTTAAACTTCATTTTTCTTTCCCTTTTTCTCTTTTCCTTTTCCTTTTTCTTTTTTCTTGTTTTTTCTTTTTTTCTTTTTTCTTTTATTCTTCCCCCTCCTTTTTTCTTTTTTTTTTTTTTTTTTTTTAAATTGCTGCTACAGATTCTTCAGGGCCTTTCTGGAACCCTGAACTAAAAGACAGGCACAGTGGAGTTGCAGTTTCTAGGTTCCACTGTTGCTATTGCTATCAGCTTGTTCATTCATCATGAAACTCTTGGAGTTTGGATATACCAATAAAATTTATCTAATAGTATAGTAAGACTATTGCGTGGCAATGTTTGTGTGTTGTCTGAGATGTTCAAATGAATGTTTAACTTTGTTTATTATCATGCTTTTTGTTTGTCTGTCCTCAGCTATTTATCATTATTTGTAGTCTTTCCATGTGGCTTTGCAGTTAATTTCCTTGATATTTTACTCCTTTAATTTACATTTCCTGTTTGCATCAGTATACAAATACGCATCTTCAAGCATCTGAGCACCCATGTCTGAGAGAGATCTCCTTACTTTTAAAATTTGAGTAGCTGATTCAATTTGATTGAAAAATGTACAGCTGAGCTTATTTTTCCGTTGTCAAATACATCTCCTACATAGTGCAGGAGCCAATTTACTGTTGTACCATTTCAAATATTACAAAAGCATGTTGTGATTTATCTGTAATTCTTTTTCATAGTGTGTGCTTTTCTACTTGAGACTTGCTCCTCTCTTAGTCTGTTTCCTTCTATGAGCTTGGTCCAAGTTGCCCTAGCTCTTGGGCCAAGAAACATGTCGAGTTTCTTCTTTCCTCTAAGCTCTGTATTTGCAAACAGGTCTATGTACAAGATTTTGTTGTAAATACTGTGGATGGAGGGACCCAAACTTGAATCAGAAAATGGGACATATTTCATTGTACTTCCTCTCCCCAAATTTGTGGTAGGGTAATTTTGTTTTTAATAATTAAATTTTAGCTAAACACAGAAAAATGTTAAGTTGGGAAGTGGTAGAAAAATAAATGAATCTTGGAATTGGATGAATCTGTTGTGCTTTCTTTGAAATATATTAGCAAATGCTCTCTAATGACTGTATTTTGAATACACTAGAGACTGTAGAGTACTTTACCCCAAATGCCAATAAACAGGCTTCATAATTCTGCAGTCAGTTTCTATGAGTTGAAGGCATTCTGCAGAAAAATAATTTTCAGGAGTTTATCAGCTATTGGTGAGAGATAGTTTAATAAGATGAGGCCCACATATGATGATTGAAAGAAAACGTTATTCTCTCATTTTAAACTCAGCCAAGGTGTCTGTGTTGACAATCATAGTTCTGCCTGAGTCATGGAAGTTGAATATGCTAGGAGGATCTTCTGACAATGAGTTACTGCTCTTGTCTGTCAGCCAACAATTTTGACATAAAATTGTCTTGTTCTGCTTTTTACAAAATACTTTTGTCATAGTTGCATAAATATGGAAACAAAATAACTTCAGTTGTACAACTGATGATTTATACTAATGTATAGTGTTATTTCACTAAAGCGGAGAACTTTAGGATAGGAGAGGTAGGACCTTGAACCATCAATTCTTTGTTGTGCAGTTTGGCTCATGTTCAGCTGCAGAAGGAATTATTCAAGCTCAGTACTTGTGTGGTGTTGGGGAACATAAACCAAAATCAGGTATGGATTCCATTCAGCTTTCATTCAGGTCAACAAATTCTTTTCAGGAGGGTATTTCATACTTTTCTTTTTTTATTGTAGTTTTAAATAAACAAGGTGAGTGGCCTCACCCGTGCTGGGTTCCTTCTTTTCTGTTAACCACAAGTACAATTTTCTGTCTAGTCATCTCACTATTTTTCACTTTTCCTAGTTTTTTACATCAGTTTTACTAAATCCCTGTAATTCATTTTTTCCACTCCAGGTAATGGTTCTCCTTTGCTATCATTTAAACCTTTGAAACAGTTGCCTTCTAATACTATTTTGCTCTTTTGAATTTCTTTTAAGCTGCATGCATCTTTCTGGCTTAATAATGTATACCACATTTCAGAAATGATCATAGAAAAATTGTCCCTTGTTATTATTGGCTTTATTAGTCATTAGTAATAGTAGTAATGATAATAAAGGCAGTTGAATTATGCAGCATTAGCAGCATTAGACATCCTATCAAGTTCTAGTTCTTGCTTAAAACTAACTAAAAGTCTTCAACAGCAGAAATGGGATCTAAAATTGAGGCTTCTCTCGGTACCCCTGCTCGGACCTTGTGAAAGACAGGGTTAAAGATCAATTCCATGGTTCAGGTCTGGCACCTGGTCTTCCTCCCGCCACCTAAGCTGGTATCTGTTTAAAACACATATGATCTGCTAAGAGCATCCTTGTGAACAGACTGCCTGGCCTGCCGAGTCCTTCTGCATGGGCCAGCTGCATAGTGAGTACAACCCCTCCTATGCAAGCTTTGAATAATAACACAGTGGACTTATCCGCTCCGAGGGTATGCTGCTTATCAGCAATGGATAACCACTACTGTGATGATTTAATTGTAGAAATTGTATTGGGAAGAACTGGTAGGCAGGAGAGTTTTGAATTACCCTGTCTTGGTGGGAACCAAAATTTCAGGTTTTGAATAAAGAGATATACTGGTGTTTCTTCATGGAGTCAGGTATGAATAAGCTTTAAAAAGATCTCTATTTGACCACAGTAAAGCCTGACACTTTTGTTGTTATTTCAAGAACGTTTCTGGTAGACTGGGTCAGGAAAGGATTTTTAATTGATTCTGCAGAAGCTGCTTTGTCTTACTGTTGATGGCATTGTGAATATAGTTATTTCGCTAAAGACACACAACAAAAAAATTGTATCTATATTTAAGAATATTTTCCAGTTTAATGTATTAATTCATATTTTGTGTTCTAAATATCATGTTATTTACTATTACAGCACATATCGTATTGAACCAATAACACAGAATGAACATAATTCCCATCTAATGGAGCTTAGTCTAAATGATACTGGTTTTTCCATAGTGTTTGCACTTTAAGAAAAATTAGAACGGAGTATTTTTTACTTGCATCTTCCAGGCTCTAACCAGAGAGTTACAGCACAGCATACAAGAGCTGAGAACAAAAATCAAACAGGCAAAAAAAATTGGAGAAGTGGGAGTGTGCCAAAAGGGTCTTTCCCAAGAGTCTGTTCAGTTGGCAGCATCTATTCTTAATGTTTCAACAACTGATCTGGAGGAAATATTAGAAGTAGAAGATGATGAGGTAAGTTATTTTAAGGACTCTTAAAAGTAAAAAGGGGCTAGATCAGAAGATGCTGTATATTTCATGTCTTGAGGAAAAGAATTTCCAGATAAAGACTGGAATTTCATTATGCAGCATCCAGCACAAAAAGAACAGAACAGTTGGATTTTAAGGAAAAGGTCAGGTTAGAGACTCATAAGGTGGCAAGGCTTTGGGCCTGCATAAATAAAATATAAATATACTGTTTTCAGCATGTAGATATAGAGACATTATTTGAAAATCCTTCGTCGTTTCCTTTTTCATGACACTATTTGGCAGGGTTATACATTTTAAATAGACTTCTGCATTAATGAAAACAAAAATAGAATGTGTCTTGCTGTGCCAGATTGATTCCGTTGATGCTTCCTTTCTTGAATTGTGATACCTGTTAAAGGTATTTCTATAAACAGATGGTTTCTGGGGGAATCCATTGCCTTTTTTTGTTGATTCTATCATAAATTTTACTATGAAATATCTGATAGTGTTGCATCAAATCACCCTCTATTAAATAGGTACAGTAGTAGGATTTCTTACCCAGATTTATTTAGCCCTGATCAAATAATACACAATAAAGCCTGTACAGTTACTTTAATAAGAATGTCTAGGAGTTGACCATTATTGGGCTGTAGCAGTACTCAGGTGATGAGTTAGGTTTAACCTTATTGGAGCTTTGCATTACAGAAGTCACAAAAGAGAGTTTTCACGTTGGTTAAATAAAAGTGCACTGTATGTGTATGCACTGATATGGATTCCATTCATAAATACAAATAAAAAGGACTTTCCATAAATAGAAAACAAACTTAAAATACAGGTGATGAATTTACACTACACAGATTTTAGATATATATTCCATTTATCAGTGCACAGAGTCAGGAACCTTTACAGTGAAATTGTAAAATTTACCCATAGATCACCTGTATGTCCATGTGAAAAGAACATGCCATGCATGCTTCTAGGGACACGCACAGACAAGGATAGGTTTGTAAATTTAACAGAGCCCTCATACTTGGTGGATATGCTTCAGATAATTAGTTTTGCAATCATAGTTGCCACTTCCACATGCTGTTTATTTAATGTACATCCAGTTATATATTTCCTTTATTGTTCATTATGTTCTTCTCAGGTGGTGTGAAAATATTGTGTCTATGTCTAAATATTTTTTCTATTTTTAGGAAACAGCAAAGACAAAAATGGAATTTGAAAAAGATAAAGAATGGCTGCAGTATATACAGAAACTTCTTGAAGCACAGGTGCTAAATTTATATCTTCCCTTAATGAATTATAACTTTCTACTCTCAGTAGCTAAGTGGTTTTAGGTTGTAGTTAATCTGTTGCATTTGTAATTATGTTGCAATTGATGGTCCCAAACTAAACTGTGATGAGGGAACGTAAAATCCTTGTTTTGTAGCATTTCCTTTTTATTTCTTTTAAAATAAGAGTCACTGTATAAAACTGAAGAGATGCTAACCAAGGATTTGTGATAGCAAACATAACAGGTGAAACCAGTGAAACAATGCTGGAGAAAACTGGTACAGATCTTGGCAAATGTGTTAATTGAATTATTGAAACAGTGTGTAATGCTTGCTAGAGTGAGCAGGATCCATTCTCTCATACCTCTTAGGAAAAAGAGATTTTTTATTATGTGTCTTTAAAGTTAGCAGTTGATATGGACACCTGAGGAGTTCATGGGTTTCAGTGACCTTTTACTGTGGACCTGTTTCCAGTCAATTCATGTTTTCCTCATAGCCAGACAGCTGTTTATTATCGTGTCTTCCCGCATTCTCTACAATATTTTCTACTGAGACCTCGAGCAGCTTGTTAGTGGGAAGTAAATATTGATTTGGCATCCTGTCAATGCAGAAAGAATGAAAAAATTTCCACCAGAGGCCCCTCAAACATTTTCCTATCGACATTTTCTGGGCAGAGAGGAAAGCTGCATAGAGGATGACAAGGCTGAGACTAGCAGAAATCCCTGAGGGGTCCATTGAGACTGCCGCTGTGACCTGTGTGATACTTTTTCTTCTCTTTCAAGTCTTTTTTTTAATACACACAGAGTCTGCTGGGATGCTCCCCTCTTGTAAGTGATCAAGGGCAGTTTATTGGCAGGGGGGGGGCCGGCGTTTT